ACAAAATGACCTGCTTTAAACGAAACTGTAATGAAATTGAATAGGACTTCCTTATAAAGAGGAAACCTGGATATAACCAAAAAAAAGGTCGGAACGGACCACTTTGTTATATCCAGCTTCACTGTGTATATATAACCTCTTTATACCGATACAAGACATCCAAAAAGCGTGTTCTTGCAGCATAAAAAATCACATGACTCGGTTATTATCCAATAAAATTTCTCGGTTAGGAAACTAGTTCGTTCTGTATCACTTGGGGTTCAACTTAGCTGAAGCGTCAACAAAAACTAGAACTCAAAGCCGAAATCACACATGAAAAATTACGTGCAAAAAATTACGGATAAAAATTGTGTGATCTCGATTCAATAAATTTGTTTATTGAAGCAAATACATAAAGAAAAAACTACGGTAAGTACTCTGCACATTTAACAAAAACATACGTCACATGAATGCATATGCAAAGTAGAGTTACGCGGTAAATTTTTCTGTCCCGAAAACAACGCATTTCTCGGAACAAAATTTACTGCAATAAATGAAAAAGTAGAGACGCCAATAGTAGATGAGGATGGTTAGTACTTTCTCCAATTTATTAATATTAATATTAAGCAAACATTTATCTTTATAATGAGACAGAGTCTTAGTCTTATTCAAAAAAGTATATTTATCGTATCGATAAGTTGCAACAACCCGATGTAGCAGCATACGGGATAAATATCGAAACACAATTATGCAACTTGCATTCTGCATTTACAGTAAATTAGTTTGTCTAAAACCGATGGGCTGTTTTCACCAATTTGAGTAATATCGAACAAACCAAACAATAAATTTATCACAAATATTTGAAACTATTACATACTGGGATATAATATATGCGTGGTATAGAGAGAGGAGAATAAAATTGTCGCATATAATTTTCTAAAGATATTATCAGAGGCAATAAAAGATTAGTGCAAAAGATTAACTGCTTATAAAAAGATTGGTGAGAAATATAATTGACATGTTATGCATCAATTGATAAACGCCGACGAACGGACCAATTTTTGCTTAAATTGTTTTATCATTTACATAAACCATGGCAATAGCGTCGACAAAAAATATGCATATAAAACAATGCTGACACGTTCTACGGCAAATTATTTTCCGTTTCACCAAGACTTCACTCTGTAAGGTGTTATTTTGTCTGATATGCAATCCTAGAAAAACATTCTTGTCGTGTAACATTTCGGATAATATCCCAATTATAGTACCTACTCCGCATGTCTTAATGAATAGTAATAAGTTTACATGCTCGTGTCATAATATCACCACCATAATACCATTATATAATCAAATTACCCCGTGTATAGTACAAACAAAGTTTCCGGTTTGTTAAAGGCAAGATCAAAGTAATTCGTTATCCGTTGTTCAGAAATTCAATGCTGATTACAGTAAAAGCTCCGTAATTGCAAGTGCTACGTTGCATCTTCCATATAGGAAAAATGTCTTGGCGATTTGCGTCTATTAATTTAGTTCCTAGCTAAAGTACGTAAAATTGGTTATCAATATCCGTTGACTATATATCTATAACAATAATAATCAATTAAAATCCTTCTGCACCGAAGCCATTGTAATATATAAAGTCAAACACTGAAAGAAGAAAACAACAATTCTTCATACGTGAAACAAATCTATGCATTGGGTTGATCATTTTCTGCAACAAATAACATTACGTAAACCACGTAAATTGCGCGCTTAGGAAAATAAATCTGCCTCGCAAAATCCGTTTGCTTGCCGAGGATTGCACTTCGGGGTTGCATTTATTATTATGGTGGTTTTACTGCTTAGTTTTGCGGACATCTCCAAGATGTTATTGGCTGATTACCAATAATATAGGTAAGACCGAGTGATGTCTTAATTATCATGTGTCTACCATTAAGAGGGGAATCTGCTTTCAAAATCAGGATAATAAAAATGCCCGAATTCTTCGATTCTTGATGTAAAAAAAAAAAAACAGTTCATGATGACACATCCGGTTATCGTGATTACTGGTGCTTCTCGTGTAAGCTTGCGCATTTCAGATTTCCGACTTTTACACTCTCTTTCGTTTCTCTCATTCCACCCACTCGTTTTCAGGGTATAGGCCGTGCCGTAGCCGAAATCTGTCTCAAGACTTTCAATGCAAACGTGCTTGCGATTGCACGAACTGAGAGTGATTTGAACGCACTCAAGGCATACGCCGAAAAGGAACTAAACACTAATGAAAGAGTAGAAACTGTTGTTGGAGACGTTACAGAGGAGAGAGTCATTGATGATGCAGTTGACAAGTGCTTGAAACGTTGGGGAAGGATCGATGGACTTGTTATTAATGCTGGGTGAGGAGGCTGATTGATTTTGCCAAGAAATCTAACCCGTAGTACCCTGATTTTAAAGACATTCTCGTCTTCTCTAGTGTCCTCGAACCCATGGCAACAATTGCAGATGTAAATGTTGGCGAATGGCGTCAGTAAGTTCTGTGTGCTTCTCAATATACACACGATCTATGTTTGTGATGTATATATGTATGTGTGTTACTTTCACATATTTAACTAATCCCGATCATATTTATCTTTTTCCCCCGTCCGGCCTCTTTCCAACAGCCTCCTTGACGTAAATCTATTGTCTGCAGTAACTTTACTCAATAAGACTATCCCACATCTACGATCCACAAAAGGATGCGTGATAGCGGTATCTTCCCCTGCTTCATCGGCGGCTTTACGTGGCTGGAGTGCTTATTGCGTGTAATTAATTATTTCAATCTCATGGGGCTTTTTTATTAATTACGAGCAGTTGCGATGGTTACATGTCCCGCAGTGTGTTGATTGTAGATTCGAACACCTTTTTGTTGTTGTTATTATTATAGGTCTAAATCCGCTCTTAATATGTTAATACGATGCTTGGCAGTCGAAGAACCAGATATTGTGGCCATCTCCATTAGTCCAGGCATTGTTGATACTGACATGGTGACATTTATTCGAACAGACGGTGAGAATTTTTGAAACATTGAAAGGTCCTCTCTGCATCTTACATGTATTAAACTCTTTTTGCAATATACTCCACTTGAATTCCATTCAGGATCCAAAGTAATGAATGAGCAGGATCATAAATGGTTCGTCGATGTCCATGCATCTAATCAAATTTTATCGCCCGAGGACCCTTCACATGTTATCGCTGCATTGGTTGTTGGTGGCGCCAAAAAGGAGCATAGTGGAGAATTTTATAATTGGGATGTTGAGGCATTTGCAGGATTTATGAGGAAAAAGTAAGTAAAGACATAAAGCATCGAGTGTAACGAAGAGTCTATTACATTAATTAGCAAGGACTGCTATAAGCAAACTTGTCCGCCAAAGTTAATATAAATTGGTTTTGATGATGACGTATATGTATACTTGATCTGGGACTGTGCGTTATCCTATCAGCTTATAAAGTTAATAATTCACGGGTGATGTTCTTGCACACACCAAATACATAATTTTTATGTGGGCACCAACTGGATCACGTCTATTGTCTGTCATATTTTCCTTCACTGACTACTCATTAGCAACTACCCAAGAATAAAAAGGTTTATAGAAAGACATGTACAAGGGATGCATTTTACATTTTCTTATGAAACAACATTATTCGTCATTGTGGTGTAATTGGAACAAGTTGAATAGCGACGTGACATTCGGACCAGACTATTGGGTGAAAATTTTAAAGCAAAAAACATGTTTGCTAATTAATTCAAGGCAAATTACACTTGCAGATATTTATTTCATTGCTATACCGTAATACATTGAGTTTATACATCCGTCAAAATAATAAATACATGAGATTAAAATAAAGTACGAGTTACATTTCAATTAAGTATGGATTACATTACGTTTATTGGATAGAAATAATCGAATAACTATTGTTCCAAACCAGCATGCCAAGCAGCACACTCATCCTTGCTAACTAGCTTCAGGGCCACAACCAAGCTACTGTTTTTCGCTTGTCAAAAATAACAACTCAAATTAGCGTTGGCATCTCTCAAGTTTCCAATTTTGTCAAATTTTACTTCAATGCTAACAGCTCAGTTTTCGAAAACGACGGAAAGCTATCCAAGAAATCAAACACACGAGGTGTATCAAATAACCAGTAAATTTGCACCTTTAAAAGATACTGGCAGTGACAGTAGTGACGTTTACGGTTTGCTAGTCACGCAATTTAATGCAACTTAACTTTTAATATCGCTGACGGGATTAAATGTCTTCAGCTGCGCCAGCGACTGCGTCTTCACCAGAAATTAATTAAAAACAAGAAAACAAGAAACAATTTGACTATTTTTTATCAGACTATAAAGGACTATTCTAATTAAAGAAAATATAATCTGAAAATAAGCTAAAGATAATGTTCTGCCATCGTTTTCACTACTCTTTTATAACTTTTTAGCGTTTCACCGGTTGTCTGCACATTTTGTGTGAATATAACCAGCAATTGTTTATTTTATGTTTGTTGGAATTTTTGCTCACGAAAGATTACGACACGCTTAATCGTTGATCCTGACAATAACCTTTATATAAAATAAACCCGAAAATTGCAAAAAGAAATTACGTTAATATAAATAAACGTTAGCCACTTGCTTTCTTTCACTGATCTGTTACAACGTAATTGTCGTCTACCAATTTTCTCTGTTGCTCTGCTAATTTCGTAATAGTTTTTTTCTAATTTTAGTCTTAACTAAATGTTCTTTGAATTTTTTTAGTAAGTCTCTCGCTTCTTCTTCCTTACACGCATTGTACTGTAAGCCGTTCCGAAAAGGACATAAATCCGTTCTTGGACTCATTATTTGAATATAAGGCGTTAATTGGTGTCATAACTTGCAAAATGCGTCATATTTTAACAATTTCAATGTGTTATCGTTTTCAAGACCTGCAATAAAATTACGATAGACCGATTTATAACTCGTTTCAGCTGGTAAAAGTGTAAGCGATTGAGTAATACGATTGACATTTCTATCAGGACTTGGTAATCCATGAATTTCAGCATAATTCTCGAGAAAATTTTTCACGGCGGCAGCAATGGTTATATCAATAGTTATCTTGGTTTTCCATCGCGGCGTTCGTTTGATATTACCGTGAATGCGCGGAATTATGCCATTCATTCCTAGATGATTTCTGACGTTCTCGAAGTGCGTGCGACCAATTCCTAACATATTAAGATACGTTTTCTGACAAAGAGGCGTATTGCGATCTCAGTAGTAAAACGTTCGCTTATTGGTACGCGTTTTCTTTTTAAGACGTCGACTAGTTGTTATTTCTCCACCATTCATTGCTTTCAGCTGGGCCATTAAAAATATGTCTTGTTTGGATCTAGAAAGAGCTTGAAACTGCCTCACGTAATTCAGCAAAATTTCTCTCAGAATCTTTTTTGAACAACCGCAATTGCAACCTGTTTTCAAGAAACGCATTGCTTTTTCGTATTCAGTGAAATTGTTATAATTATCATTCTTCATATACGGGTAATCCTATATATTAGTTTTAATATTTTGTGTGTAGCAATCTGCAGATTCAAGGCGACCACTGACTTCTAGTATAATTATTGAAACTTATAGACTTTGAAAATTTCTTGCAACAAAATTTATTCTGATATAAGTGTATCAAAAAATACTATTTACAAATAAAAGACAACTGTATATAGGGTGCTATATAAGTCAAACAAAGTGATTTTCATCATCATTTTCTCCTTTTCTTGTCAGCTCTTGTAATAGTAACATCATTATATAGCTGATTGACCATAAATAAATCATGTTCCCTTTCAATGTGCACACCAACTTTAACATTAGGATGCCACTTAAGATCCATATTCATAAACAATGAATAATGCATGTCACCATGTTGGCCTGCCCAATCAAAGTTGACAAGCTTTACTTGGACTTTATTGCTCTCCTGTCCAAATGAAACCATAATATTGGGACCACGAAGGTCACCATGGACATAACCAGCCTTATGAAGCATCAAAAATGTACTTGCACATCTTTTCATGCTTGTCTCCATGCACCTCACTCAGTGGTTGAAAGTCTTGGCCTAACAAACTCATTACTATTATTTTCCAGCTGCCAGTGATTACATTCACAGCCAGCAGTTTAGGTGCAATGTCCATATCACTACATATTTTGTGTGTATCTTCAGAATAAGTTTGCACAAACTTCAATAATACTTCTTTGTTTGTGCTGTTATTGTCAAGTGATGCTACAAATAGCAATTTTGAGTTGAACTGCTTCATGTATGTCACTGGTATGTCTTCATCATTTATTGTTACAAATACAAAGTCAATATACAGAAACTGAAGTTGATGATGTCTGTTGGTGTTATGGTTATCCAATTCCTGATACTGATAGTCACTGTAGTAGAATTTCAACTCTGTGATGCCATTTTTTAGTGCATGAACAGCACAAGCAACTGCTTCCATCTTCTTCCACTCATGAGGGAGAAAATACAGGTACAGGGGCAGTATGGGTGTAAGCAGGTCACATACAATCTTATCAATGTAGGTGGCACCTGCAATCCTGAGGTGGGGCCTGACCAAGTACAGTAAAAATGCTGGACACTGTGTCTGGGTCAGTATCAGTGCTGACAATTTTTTTTATTATTATTATAGCTTTTGATAAATTCTGCATAATATGCTGTGCTTTGTATGTAAGCACAGCCAGATGATCCAGACCCTAGCTCAGTCTTGACTTCTACATTCAGCAGGAGCACACCAGCCACCATAATGCTGCCATCCATATCTGCCTTATTCACTTCCAACTGATCAATATTCATTCCTAGATAGTCACTCAATAGTTCCTGAAAAGTCTGTGCTCAATCAGCCTCTTTTGAAAAAGCCTCTGACATTTTACAAGCCAACTTTAAAGTGAATGTGCAATTGTCATTGTCATATGTCATACATCAATCAGCACATCCAATGAGTAATGAAAAAATTCTGCAAAGACTGGGTGGCATAGCATCACAGGAAGGCTGTACACCTCAGATTGAATAAAACTGTTTCTTGCTGTTGTATATCCTTCCATATGCCAGGCTGCACAAAAGACAATGGGGCTGGCAATGTTTCCAAATGATCTAAGTAAGTTTTATCAAATGGTATTGTTGCTATTGGTACTGTGGGGTAGAAGATAAGTAAGCAAAGATTAGTCAGCAAAGAGAGAACTACCAGGTTCAATGTTGGAGTGAGTCCCCAACACAAAAATTGAGAATACATAATAAATAGTATGCTATGATTTTTGCAAACAGTAGCATTCTCATGATAAATTCATAATACAAAGAAACTCACACCATACTATGTCTATCCTATGTCTACTC